TAACAAAAAAAAATAAGAAAAAAAATTTAAATGAACAGTGAAAGCGTGGTTTCAATCCACGCTTGTTGTAGTGAACAGTGAAAGCGTGGTTTTAATCCACGCTTCTTTTAGTGAACAGTGAAAGCGTGATTCACAATCACGTTTTCTTCAAAAAATGAACATGCACAGTGAAAGCGTGGTTCTAAATTACGCTTTCTTTAGAAAACAAATTAAACGACATGCACAGTGAAAGCGTGGTTTGGAACCACGTTTTCTTCAGAAAAAATTTTATATTAAAAGCGTGGTTTGCAACTACACTTTCTTAATTAAAAACGTGGTTTCTAATAACGCTTTCACTGTTCATCAAATTTTTAGTCCCAAACAGTGAAAGCGTGACTTGTAATAGCACTTTAACCTAATTTGAAAATTCCGTCCAAACTAAACCTAATTAAAAAATTAAAATGATAAATTAACTTAGGGTTTGGTTATGGTGTGCAACTTACACCTTACACCTTATACCTTACACTTACATCTTACACTTACACCTTTTGTAAAAAATTAAACCTTACACTTACACCTTTTTTGAGGTTGCACACCATGTGCAACCCACTTACACCTTACACCTTACACTTACACCTTATACTTATACTTACACCTTACACTTACACTTTTTGTGTAAGTGGCACATGGTGTGCACTTGCACACTTAAGAAAACTCCATTAACTTAATATGGGAAAAGCCCTACAAAACTTTCTTCTTCTTTGTTTTTTTTTTTTTTCCCATGCACAAGTAACATCCTTGCCACCAGACTCAACCTAAGGGACTCAGCTACGACTTACTATGTTCTCAAGACGTCAGGCTAACACAAGTCACCTCCATTTTATCATCGGCATGGTATGATGGGCCAACAAAACAAGAGTAAGTGCTAGTTTGGCATGTACTAAATAAGTTAAAAAGTTACTATCTTATTTAAGTCACACCATCTTATTTAAATCATATTACCTCTCTAACACATCACATCAAACCCAACCCAAACTCACCAATAAGTCAAAAAGTGCACTTTTTTAGGACATCCCAAACCAACCCTAAAGCTCAAGATTAAAGGCTCTTTTAAAAATTGACTATTTTAATCGTTTTTTTCAATTTTTATGAAAATATATATAAGAAATAAAAAATAATAATAATTTGTTATAGTGACCTTTTAACTATTTTAATATATTAGTAAAACAGCCTTAAACTAGATCTAAATCTAAAACTTCATTAAAGGCCTTATATCAAACAAGCATAGGCTTCGTTTGGAAAGTGAGTTGGTTTTTTAATTTTTTTGTTTTAGCACAAGATTAAAAAGTTTGTTTGGGTTGACTTTTTTGGCAAGAGGTTATTTTAGCCAATTAGCTAAAAAGTTACTAAATTAGCCAAAAAGCCAACAACCCATAACAAAAAGTCAAAGATTCTCTTTTCTCTCTACTTTATGCACATCTTTTCGTAATTAGCCAAAAAGTCAAAAAGTTTGCATATAGGCCTTATTTAAAGCCAACAATCCATACCAAAAAGTCAAAGATTCTCTTTTCTCTCTATTTTTTGCACATTTTTTCGTAATTAGCCAAAAAATCATCCCAAACATACAAGTTTTTTTTACCTACCTTTTTACCAAATAGCCAAAAAGTTACTAAATTAGCTTGTTCCCAAACGAGAGAAAAAGTAAAATGATTATAATTTTGATGTAACATTTTATCTTATTAATTTTTTAGTTTATTTTATCTTTTGTGGCTAATCTGTCTATTATCTACTACTATTATAAAAGTGTAAAGAGTCTGTCATATTTTTTACTTTTTTTAAATTTCAATTTTACCCTCTCAAATCTATTATATTTTCTAAAAGTCATACAGAATCCTATATAAACCAACTTTATTTTTATTTTTTTGGAGTTTAACACTCAAAAATGATATATCTACTTCCAGGAGTCTTAAATAAATATAAACAAATCGTTTCTCTCCTCATCAAATGGAAAAAAGAAGTCGTTTCCCTATTTTTTACATTGATGATGATTAAATAATAAAAAATAATTATTTTTTCATATTTCTTGTGTCTACTTCTATATTGATATACATAATATTACAATTGTTCATCATGGATTAAATCATTGTGAAAATCTTTGGTTGAATTTTAAAGTTGTATGAATGTAGACAGAGGAAAACACATGTGTTTTTATAACAGAGATTTGTGCTGCATCTCAAAATTTCGCAGGTTATCTTCATACACTTTCTTTTTGTTTAATTTATATTTTATGAATTGTAATATTTTTATTATTATTATTATTATTATTATTATTATTATTATTATTATTATTTTAATATTAATAAATTTTTTTTCAAAAAGAATACATAACAAATTATTTTCTACATGTATTAAGTAAATCTAAATCTAAAAATAAAATAAAAAAAATAAAAAAAAATAAAATAAAATTTAAGGAATGACCATTTCATTTCATTCAATTTCATTATAATGAACTAAACACTGTATTATAGTATTAATAGTTCAAAATGAAATTTTATCCCAAAAAATTAAAAACAATTGAAGTAGTGAATTATTTAAAAAAAAAAGTGTCAAAGACAAAAAAATATAAAAATCAAAAAATTCAAAACAAAAGTTTAAAAATACAAACCAAACCAAACACTATAAACTTCTATTTTTTTAAAAAAATTCTTCACTAATATCTAATTTTACACAAATTATTCACAAATTTCGTTCAATTTTTATGTGAATTTAATAATCTAATTAAAAAATGATGCATACATAAAAAATAAAATTAAAAAATGTGACACTAAACATTTACATTATAACGAACTATTTAATTATGAATAATTAATGTCTCATTACAAAAGATTTCGCGTATTAGTTGTGTGATATCTTATATATGTCAATGTCTACAGATATAAATATATATAAAAAAATATAAATGTGAATTTATATATGTTACTACATTTATACATTATCAATCTGCAATACTATATTACCATCAGATACTTTAATTTTCTAATATATATTGCTTTAGTAACATAGTTATACTTGTTAGAAAAAATTGCGGAATTGTGTATTGTTCTCGTATCATTTATGTTCAATACATATATACATATATGTTATACAAACAAGTATTCGACAACAAACACTTTCAATAACAAACTAAGACTTTACAAGACACCTCCATCACGAGAATAATTATACTTTTTTTTCTCTCACATAAAAAATTACATTATTGAGAGAAAATGGATTTAAAAATTCATAACAATATGATATCGTCTCAAATTCTTACTCATCAAAATATTTTTATTATAATGAGTTATAATAGTGAGAAAGAAGAAAAACAAGAAGACGGTGAAACAAAAACTACAGAAGATCTTGCAAGATACTCTTAAAACAAAGTTAGATAAGTTCAAGTATTAATTGTTCTATCTGTTGTGAAGTTTAAGAAAAACAACATATCTCATGTACACATTTTAATCAAATTACAAAAAATAAAATAAAAATCAAATGATACCCAAACATTATCGTAGCAACTCAATGATACAGAAACTAAGTATATCAAATAAAAAGTTTCGATCAATTTTTTTTTATATGCTAATTACTTACAACTGCCATAATAAATTATGTAACTTGACAACTTCATAAAAGTGACCCTACAAACCCTTATAAGCATGTATATATAAACATCGCGAAAATAATTATGAAATTCTTATATCAATTGAAATATTAAATTATAATATCATTATATTTTCTTAAAAACACTATTCTACATTTTCTACATAAATGAAATTATACTAATAACTAATGTTATATTTTTCATTGTGTGAGATATTTGTAGTACAGGAAACGAGACTCAACAATTCTTAATGTATAAAAATATATTATATGTTGATATTAATGCATTCTTACACTAATAGTATGCAAATAATATACAATAGTGGACTCAATGAATTTATATTATGAGATGAACTATTAAACAAAATTGTGTAATTGTGCAATTAATTTCATACCTTCAATGATATTACATGTATGGATATGAAAAATTAAAGCAGAAAGTTGATAGAAAAATATTTGTGTAATACTATATATTTAAATGATCTGCTTATTGTTTATTGTTTAAGATAAGATTGTGATTTCAATAATTTAGCTATAAATTAATATTTATGTTTATAAAAATTTTTATTTATCATTTAAATTCTTCAATCAAGTATATATTCATTTATTGCTTAGTTATATTTTGGATATAGGTCAATTTATCTATACAAGTCTCTACATTTTGTATACATATCACATACCAATTTAAGAGACACACATAATTACAACATTAACAATTGATGAAAAATCACATATTACGTGTAACGCATATGCCCAACTACTAATTTAGCCAAAAAGTTTTTTAAAAAAAAACCCACATACCAAACGAGGGCATAGTGAGTAAAACATGCAAATGCAAGGACTAAATTATAAGGTTAAATTATAAATACACTCTCTGAGATTTGTTTAAAATACGAATTGTCCTACGTAGTTCTGAAAAGTATATCTAGTCTCTTAAATTTTTTAATTTCATAACAAATAACTCATTTTATTAATAAATTATCAAATAAATTAATAATTTTTAATAATGTCAAAAATATATTTCAATTAATAATTCAAGGAATTTTATTATTATATAAAACATTCATTAAATTATTGGGTAAATTACATTGACACACCCCTAAGGTTTATATTTATTACAGTTTTCCCTTATATTTGGAAAATTACATTGACTCCCTGTTAATTTAATTTGATGTATGATGATCATTACGGGGAAGGGAGAACTGCTATGAAACTTTAAATCTTAGGGAACAATCTGTAATGAAATTTTAAACTTTAAGGAAGGGAATATAATTTTCAAAAGGTGAGAAAAAAAAATTATAATAAATATAAACCTCAAGTGTCAATGTAATTTACCCTAATTTTTTTATTGTTTTTTAAGCAAACCAATTTACCCAAATTATACATAGAAAAACTCGAGCAATGCCGGGTAGGTCTTTGCAGAGAGTGGTTTGTGTTGAATCTATGGATGTGGTTGTGAGTGTGGCGTGGATTTGAAACCAGAGCAACACGAGCAGGGTTTCGTTCTCTACTCTCTCTATCAGGTACCCATGGTTCAACACTGCTAATATCTATATATATATACGTATTGTGTGAGGAGGAACAATGGCTTTGGAAGGTGGTTTGAAGAAGCTAGAGTACCTCTCATTGGTCTCAAAGGTATGTACAGAGCTGGAGTCTCATTTAGGGTTTGGGGACAAGGTTTTGGCCGAATTCATCACGGATATGGGTCAAAAATGCCAGACAGTTGAGGAATTCGATGTTGAATTGAAGGAAAACGGTGCTGAAATGCCCGATTATTTTGTCCGCACACTTTTAACTATAATTCACGCAATTTTGCCTCCCAAACCCAAGTCCAAATCTGTTAAGGAATCCAAGACTGATGGCTCTCAAGGCAAGAAATCAATTTTTCCTGCTTTGGCGATTGGGGACAGTAAAGACAGAGTGAAGGAGATTGAGAAAGAAATCGAGATGGAATCGAAGGTTTGGGGTCGCGGAGACGAAGAAGAGGAGCTTATAAACCACAGGGATAGGGACAGAGGTAGAGACAGAGATAGGAGAGAGAGGCGAAGAGAGAGAGACAAGGTTGAGAGGGGTGATAATAGGGGTGACAGGTATAGAAACCACCACCATGATGATGATAGAGATAGGGGGAGGTATAGGGATCGGCACGATAGGCATAGGAGAGATGGGTATGAAGAAGATGGGGATAATAGGGAAGATGATGATAGGAGGGATCGAAGGAACAATAGGTATCACTCGGATGAACCTGAGTTGTATCAGGTTTACGGGGGCAGAGTGTCAAGAGTGATGGACACTGGTTGCTTTGTTCAGCTCACTGATTTTAGGGGAAAAGAAGGTCTGGTCCATGTTTCACAGATCGCGAATCGAAGGATTAGCAATACCAAGGATTTTGTAAAACGCGATCAGGAGGTTTATGTGAAAGTGATATCAGTGTCAGGTCAGAAGTTGAGTCTTTCAATGCGGGATGTTGATCAAAATAGTGGTAAAGATTTACTTCCATTGAAGAAGAGCTCGGATGATGATGCTTTTCGGACTAACCCTTCAGGAGTGAATAATCGGGGTCCAACAACTAGGACGGGTCTCTCAGGGATTAGAATCGTTGAAGAGGATGATGCTATCCCATCACGCCGGCCACTGAAGAGAATGAGTTCACCAGAAAAATGGGAAGCTAAGCAACTGATTGCTGCGGGTGTTATGGATGTTAGGGAGAATCCCATGTATGATGAAGATGGAGATGGGTTTCTCTATCAAGAAGAGGGTGCTGAGGAAGAGCTTGAAATTGAGCTAAATGAAGATGAACCAGCCTTCTTGCAAGGACAGAGCCGATACTCTCTAGACATGTCACCTGTTAAAATTTTCAAGAATCCGGAAGGGTCTTTGAGTCGTGCAGCAGCCCTTCAGTCTGCTCTCATAAAAGAGCGGAGAGAAGTAAGGGAACAGCAGCAAAGAACAATGCTTGACTCTATCCCGAAAGATCTCAATCGTCCGTGGGAAGACCCAATGCCAGAGACAGGTGAGAGGCATCTTGCACAGGAGCTTAGGGGAGTTGGTTTATCAGCATATGACATGCCCGATTGGAAAAAGGATGCTTTTGGGAAAGCCCTGACTTTTGGGCAGAGATCAAAGCTTTCTATCCAGGATCAGAGGCACAGCTTGCCTATTTACAAATTGAAGAATGAATTGATTCAGGCTGTGCATGATAATCAGGTTCTGGTGGTAATTGGTGAGACAGGTTCAGGCAAGACAACACAGACGACTCAGTATCTAGCTGAAGCAGGGTACACTACCAAGGGCAAGATTGGATGTACTCAGCCCCGTAGGGTGGCTGCAATGTCTGTGGCCAAGAGAGTCGCTGAAGAGTTTGGTTGCCGTTTAGGTGAGGAAGTTGGGTATGCCATTCGTTTTGAGGATTGTACCGGACCAGATACGGTGATTAAGTATATGACTGATGGTATGCTTCTGAGAGAGATTTTGGTTGACGAGAGTTTATCTCAGTATTCAGTCGTAATGCTTGATGAAGCTCATGAGAGGACAAATCATACTGATGTCCTTTTTGGACTATTGAAGCAGCTTGTGAAGAGGAGACCTGACCTTCGTTTGATTGTCACATCTGCCACATTAGATGCGGAAAAATTTTCTGGGTATTTCTTTAACTGCAATATTTTCACAATTCCTGGAAGAACTTATCCTGTTGAGATACTCTACACCAAACAGCCAGAAAGTGACTACCTAGATGCATCCCTAATTACTGTTTTACAGATTCACTTGACAGAACCCGAGGGTGATGTTCTCCTCTTCTTGACTGGTCAGGAAGAGATTGATCATGCATGCCAGTCTCTTTATGAGAGGATGAAAGGGTTGGGTAAAAATGTTCCTGAACTAATTATTTTACCAGTCTACAGTGCTCTTCCAAGTGAAATGCAATCCAGAATCTTTGATCCTGCCCCTCCAGGAAAGAGGAAAGTGGTTGTAGCAACCAATATTGCGGAAGCATCTTTGACCATTGATGGGATATATTATGTGATTGATCCGGGTTTCGCAAAGCAAAATGTTTACAATCCTAAACAAGGGCTTGATTCATTGATCATAACTCCTATTTCACAAGCGTCAGCCAAGCAACGAGCTGGCCGGGCTGGAAGAACCGGGCCTGGAAAATGTTATCGCCTTTACACTGAGAGTGCTTTTCACAATGAGATGTCACCCTCATCAATTCCAGAAATCCAAAGGATGAATCTTGGATTGGTCACACTTACTATGAAAGCCATGGGGATAAATGATCTTCTAGCTTTTGATTTCATGGACCCACCTTCGCCTCAAGCTCTCATTTCTGCCATGGAACAACTGTACAGTCTAGGAGCTCTTGATGAGGAGGGCCTTCTGACTAAATTGGGTAGGAAAATGGCTGAATTTCCAATGGAACCACCATTGTCTAAGATGCTACTTGCCAGTGTAGATCTTGGGTGTAGTGATGAGATTTTGACAATCACTGCAATGATTCAGACTGGAAACATCTTCTACAGGCCTAGGGAGAAACAAGCCCAAGCAGATCAAAAGAGAGCCAAGTTTTTCCAACCTGAGGGAGACCATCTGACGTTACTTGCTGTTTATGAGGCTTGGAAAGCCAAGAATTTTTCGGGTCCATGGTGTTTTGAGAACTTTGTTCAGTCTCGATCCTTGAGGAGGGCACAGGATGTACGGAAGCAGCTTCTCAGCATCATGGACAAGTATGCTCTCTAGCTTTTTGTGTTACATTCTGCCTTAATAATTCTTTCTTACTAATGGCTTTTGCTCATTTTGTTGTTTACACATTTCTTGCTTCAAAATGTTTTACATGCTTCTTTTTCCTTTGAATTATTCTGTGTTTGTCTTAATCCTGTTCTGTTGCTGATAATATTAAGGAGAATTGAGATGAAAAACATAGCAACCCAACTTTTATTTGACTAGTTTCTCTTCTTCCTTTTTATTTGGACAATACGAGTACTTCTTTTGTCAACGGAAAGTTCCTTTCTAAAGACATTGAATGGTTGTTCCAATGGTTTTCCATCATTTCATTGTGAATTGTATCATTAGATTGCTGGTTGGATGTTTTCAAGCATCATTTTAACCGTGTTGACTACTTTTTTTGTTTTTTATGAGGTAACTGTTAGAATGTGTTCTATATCGCCTAGAGTTGTTCTATCTGTGCTGGTTATAAGGCTTCAGTTGCCTTCTCCTTAATACCTGGGTTTTAAGGAGAAGTGTGGGCTGGGCTTTTCAATTGTAACTTGTACAGACATGTTTTCTTGGGCAAATATCTATTGTGTTCCTCGAAACCTACTATATTTGTCTTGTGCTAAGAAGCATAGACATGAGACATGGATTTTTAGAAAAAAAATAGGACATGGACACAGCAAGAAATATGGCTTAAAATATATTGACTATGTGTATGAATATAAATTTAGGGCACAAAAATATAAGAGACATCAATTTATATGTGGGTATATTTTTTTCTCCACTTTTCCCCCTTGTTTCCTTATATTTTACTTTGACCCCAAATCAACTTTTAAAATTATAAAAAAAACCCCACAAAAGTGTCCTAAAGTATGTCCAAACATAGGACTCAATTGTACATAAGTGTTCCTATCAACTTTTTAAAATTATAAAAAAACCCACGAAAGTGTCCTAAGGTATGTCCAAACATAGGACTCAATTATACGTTAAGTGTTCCTGTCTTGCAAAAAATAATAATTAGAAAATTGACACCCATGTGGCATGCTTCACACATGGACATGCTTATTCCTTTCCATGTTGGTGCTCGACAAGTGTTGGACACAGAACCAGCACCCACTTTGAAGTGTTCCTGTTTAGTGTTTTTTTTTTCTTCTAATCTTTTGTTATTATTATTATCTTTTTTTTTTTTTTTTTTGAGTAGCAACAAAACAATTTTATTGAAATAAAAGTTGAAAACAAGGGGAGGACAATAAGTCCTCATGCAAAGTCAAGAAAGCAAAGCTAAAAACCGAAGAAACAACAACTAAAACAGAAAACAATCCACCAGTAAGAATGGCAAACAGCAGCCCAACTCCTAGTGATCAAAAAAAGAGATATGCCCTTGAAAGGGGGAGACACACAACCCCAAACTGGTGCGAGATGCCTCACCCTATCCCACATAGCTTCTTCCTTAGATTGCTTCTCAATAAAAATCTGATCATTCTTTTCCAACCAAATGGTCCAAAAAATAGCAAAGACAATGCAAGACCACAATGTTTTGCCTTCTTACTGCTTCCAAACCCACCAAAGAAAACTAGCAGCAAATGTGTGCACACGCACTGAACAACCCACAGCACATCACAAAGGCCAAAGAGACGCTGCCATAGTGCAAGAGCCACCGGGCAAAGTAAGAATAAGTGATCCGCCAATTCCGCATCCCTCTTACACATTATACACTATTGAGGACCAAGAGAATGATTGGGCCTTTTTCTCTGGAGAATATCATTGGTCGTGACACTTCCATGAGATAAGGACCACATGAAGAACTTGACTTTATAAGGAACAACAACTTTCCAGATTTTTTTTTTGTGAAGAGGAAATAAAGGAATAGAAGGAACATCAATAATCCTATCAAACATAGATTTACATTAGAATATCCCCAAAGAATGGATGCTCCATACCCTTTTTCCCCCAATTTGATGAACCAAAGAAACCCCATTAAGCAATGACAGCAAAGAAACCAATTCAAGGAACTCCCTATTGCTAAGATTCCTAATGAAATTGAAGTTCCAAGAAATTGGTGCCATGTTAGAACACACAGTGGGTTGTTCTGGGAAGATGGTTAAAAGCTAGTTTTTTAGCTTTTTTTTTGAAAAAAAATGTGTACAAAATATGAGAGATGATGTGACCCAAAATGGGTTAAAAGCTGAAAGATGACTTTTAACCATCTTTCCAAAATAGCCCGCAATTGAAACATTCCAAGATTGAACCAATCTATAAAGAGGTGGAAAAACTCTATCAAAAGAGGAATCCCCCACCCACCCATCCTCCCAATTATTTATTATCTTATTGACTTGTTAAATTTGTCTAGCATGTTACTAACCTTAACTAAGCTTAAAGTTATCTGGAGCATTGTGGTATAGCACTACAATTTCTGTAGATGCAAATATATATACTGTAGAGAGAAGTATGGATGCACTTAAATGTGTACGTTAGTTGTGTCCTTATAAACACTCCTCAGTCCACACTGAAATTTCAGTATCTCTTGTAAATGCTGTATGGATGAATCGACATTCCTCAACCTGTTAAGAGATCACCAATTGTTCTCAGCAGTGACCATCAAAAGAAGAAAAAATCATGGATTTTATCAGCCAATTAGTCAAAATTTTATTTCTTGTCAAAATCTTCTATGAATAGGTTTTACGATTGTTTGATCATGTACAATGGAGATTTGTAGATGCAAAACAGTAAGAAAGAGAGATATGATCATCATAAATGGAAATGTTAGGAGGGAAGATCTAGACTGACATGAGATACAATAGTAAAAAAAAAAGAAAAATGAATTATAAAACTCAATTGAGCATATTACCTTGACAGAGTGGAATGGATAACAATGATTCATGTAGCTGAACCCGCCTAATTAGGACACATGCTTAGTTTGGTTAGTTAGAATCCCGTATAAGAGCATACCAAGCTACATACTGAGAGTAGAATGAAAAGAACTTGGACAAATTTGCCTTCATAATATGCAAAGCATTATATTATCCTTACTTTGGTTGCTTCTTTGTGCAACTGCTCCCCTGGTCAAAGATTGTTTAAACACAATCAGCGCACATGCAACCTTGGTAATTGTACATCTTATTTTCTTTTCTTTTGATAAAGGCCACTAGTTTACCAAAAAACAATGCTTTCAGTATACATTTCGAACTCAATGTTCCTGATCTTTTATTTTTTTGATAAATAAATATAACTGATATTTCAATGATAAATTCTTACATTCGTGGTAGTTTTACACAGTAGAGTGGCTTGGATTTTATTTGTATGACTTTAGATTCAATTTTTTGTTACAACTATTTTGTATGGCTGACATCATGTTTTTTGGTATGGCTAGGTTCCTTAGTTAAGGAAGCTTTGTCCATTATAAATTAGATTTTTTGGGAGCTCTTTCTTTGATGAGAATTTATAGTCTCAAATTGACGTCTAATCATGGTTTTATAATTTTAAAGTATAGTTTTCTGTTCCCTTGAGGATACCAGTTTTAAACTGTATTATAGTGGTAAGGATAGATGCATAAATGGGATAGGAATCATAATTGTCAAGGGTCTTGTGGAGAATGTAGTGGCAGTCATTAGGAAAGTGGATAGGATTATGTTAGTTAAACTAGTTATTGGAGGGAATATAGTGAACGTTATTAGTGCATACACCCCGCAAGTAGGATTAAATGATCAGACTAAGAGAGATTTTTGGGAGCAAATGAATGAGATCTTACAGGAGATACTTGTAGGAGAGAACCTGGTTATAGGTGGGGATTTTAATAGCCATGTAGGTATAGATAAACTAAGCTATGAAAGGGTGCATGGTGGATACGGTTTTGGTGACAGAAATAAGGCTGGAGAGAGTATTTTAGATTTTGCGTTGGTTTCTAACCTGATGGTGGCTAATACTATGTATAAGAAGAGGGAGAAGCATTTGATAATCTTTAAGAGGAGCATTTGATAACCTTTAAGAGGAGCATTTGATAACCCATTCCCGAATACACTCATTCCTAATTTGTCTTGTCTTGTCTTGTCTTGTCTAGTCTTGTCACACATCCACCTTAGCATCCTCATCTCAGCCACACTCATGTTATCTACGTGTTGTTTCTTGGTTGCCTAACATTCCGTTCCATACAACATCACTGGTCTAATAGCCGTTCTATAGAACTTACCTTTTAGTCTAGTGGGTATTCGTTTATTGCAGAGTTCTCCAGACGCACTTCTCCACTTATACCATTCCGCCTTAATCCTATGGGTCACATCCGCATCAATCTCCCCTGCTGTTGTGATAATCGACCCTAAATAACGAAAATGTTCACTCTTAGGCAGTTCTTGGTTCTCAATCTTCACTTCTCCTCTACTTTCATTGTTACTGGTACTAAATTTACACTTCATGTATTCTGTCTTAGTTTTGCTTATTCGAAATCCCTTAAATTCAAGAGTTTTTCTCCAATTCTCCAAATTTGTGTTAACTCCTTCTCTAGTCTCATCCACTAACACGATATCATCTGCAAAAAGCATACACCTTGGCACGTCGTCCTGAATATTTCTCGTCAACTCATCCATAACTAAAGCAAAAAGATGAGGACTTAAGGTAAATCCTTGGTGTAACCCTACAGTGATAGGAAATTTATTTGTCTTTCCAACAAACGATCTAATAGTGGTCACTACCCCTTTATACATGTCCTTAATCATATCACTGTAACCTTTTGTCACCTCTTTCTTCTCTAACACCCACCATATTATATCCCGGGGCATTCTATCATATGCTTTCTCAAGGTTGATAAATGCCATATGAATGTCTCTTTTCTTTTCTTTTCTCTATACTTTTCTATTACTTCCCTCAAAAGATAGATCGTTTCAATTGTTGACCTGCTACGCATAAACCCAAATTGATTCTCTGACACCTCTGTAATATCTCGCAATCGGCGTTCCATCACCCTTTCCTACACTTTTATTACATGACACATTAGCTTGATTCCTCTATAGTTGTTATAATT